GCCACCTGCCAGAGAGGACATGGAAATCTTCAAATAACAGCAAAATGGAACTGGGGGCTTGGTGAGGGTAATCAAAATGTGCCAAGAATACTAATATTCTGAAAAATTTCAGGCAAAACTGCTGCAAATTGATTTGGTAGGGAATTGTGTATGAAAGCATTGGAACTGGCATGCTCCACGTGGAAAAGAATTGCCAAAATTAGTCATTTATTATAAGGGGCAGAAGAGAAAAGTTCATATGAAAGCTATAGTGTGAATCAAAGGGACCCTGAGCCTGCTGTGAAATTTCACAGTATAAAGGGGAAAAAAAAAGTAGAAATGACTTAACTGTATTATTGAGAAGCGGGTGTTTCCAAGCGGGCAGGTGAGGAAATGTATGAGTGAGAGGCCTGGCCCCCTTTGCAAAAGCCCTGCAGCTGCTGCCCAAGAGAAGGTCGCGCAGGTGGGGAGAGTCCCAGGCGCAGGAAGGTCCTCGCAGAGCCCGCCCCTTCCTCGGGACAGCACCAAGGACAGACGTACGTAAATAACCATTCCTGGCTCCAAAGCAAAGCCTGAAGCTGTGCAGATGGCTGCTTTGAGCCCACAGGCGTATGGAAATGATATCAAAGTTCTTTAGTTTGTTTTGTGCTGTAGTGCATTAGGCAAAATTATTCAAACTAAATTAGGAGTAAGCACAGGCACAACATGAATCAGTTTTAAAATTACGTTTGGGGAAGTTTATATTAATTTAAAAGCATGCTGCTCTTGGTGGAGTTAGCAGAAGAATTGGATTTCCAGGGTGCTGTGGCCTAAGCCAGCCTGCAGCTTGGGAAATAATGACCCAGCGAAGCCAGCGGCAGCAGGGAGGCGTATGGCAGCCCCTTCCCATGACCATTAAATGTCAGTGCCATGGCGAGGGGATTTAAAATAATCCCCAAGTCTTATGTTCTTGTACCTATCTGAATTTGGAGCGTGAGGGAGGCGTTGGGTTTCAGAGGGAAACCGTTTTTTTTTTGCACAGAGAGACATAATGTTGTGGTCCCATCAGTGAGAACCAAGCCCAACAACAGTGTGGCCGCGTGGCTCAGACACCTTGGCCGGGGGGTGTCTGCATCTCTTTGTCTTGAACCTGCTTATTTTTCCATATAGCAAAACTCTGGAGGAAAACTGAGCAAGCGGATGGTCACCTGGCCACCACGTAGGAACTGGTGGGTAGGACAGGGCTGAAGTGATGTCCATCTGACCACTTGGCCGGGCGAAGCAAAATAACTCCCTGACCCACCTCACAGGGCAATCCAGGGCAAAGGGGTAACTCTGTGGTTTCCTTTTCCTTCCCTCCATGGAGCCTCTGCATGTGGTGGCTTGGCGAGCTTGGCTTCAGCACGCAGGAAAGAAAGCCTGGGCAGCTCTGAATATAGACTTGACAAATTAGTGCAGCAGACAAATTGCATGGGATATTAGTAAACATTTGATGCCTTAAAAATCCTTTGTTTCAGTAAAGGTCCTTTGAATTTCCATTAGCTTAAAAAAAGCGCGGAAATAAATAAAGAAAAAAAATCTTGAAAAGTAGCAGGGAACACATAGCTATGCCTGATACTCTCCTGGATTGTATTGTTTGGTTTCAGCCAGTTGACAGTATTTAAACAGGTTCCTTATTTAATAAACACACGGGCACAGAGATATGCTTTCTGGATCCTTGTCCTGGACCTGCAGTCCTGGGGAAGCTGGGGCTTCAAAATCCGCCGAGCTTCCTCCTTGCTAAAAATCGAGCCTAACTGCTCCATTCCCCCCCCCCCTTTTTTCTTTTAATGTCTCAAAAATTCTCTGTAGCTGCTACAGATTTTACAGACTTTTGTTAACTGCCAGAATAGCAGGAAGTCAATTAAAGCGCTTCTCTCATACGGGGTGACTCCTGCTCGATGTTTGCTGCTCCTGCATGGAGATGTTCTGCTCTGGCCTCACGGTGCAGAGCAGACAACGGATGTCTCACTAGCTCCAAATCAATGCTCGATGGGCACAGCTGGAGGCCGAGGGAACCTCCTCATCATTATCTCTGGAGACCCAGAAAACTTAACTCCTGTGCAGAAGCTTGGCCATTGGGCAAGCAGCAGAGGGGCTGTGCAGCTCAAGATCACTTGTCTTGCATGTTTTCTTTCTTGGGTAGGGACATGAGGCAGCCTAGCAGGCACTGCAGGAGGAGAAAAATAAGAGGTAATGCTGAAAATAGGTCTTCATGTAAAGCACTTAGAAATTCTGCTGTGGAGGCTGCTGATGACAGAAGAGCTGAGGTGGACAGTGCATAAAAAGCCAGGGCTGTTTGACAGAAACGAATGATTTGTATAGAAAAACGAAGCAGAAAGCTCTAGTCAGAGGGTGAGGAAATTGCTGCCCTGCATGCACACCTGAGCCAAAGGGGGTTTGATTGCTCAGGGTCATGTTTTAAGTGGGAGCATTGCATAAACTGGTGACTCTTCCTTCTTTTACCGTGCTGCAATCAAAAGATTGCAGCCCCCTTTTCCTCGGTGCCTTTTGCTGCTGGGAAGCCAGGTTTAGCTTCGATCAGTGTAGACCAAAAAAAAGAGGGATGTTTTCCAGTGCCCTGGGCACGAGAGGGGCAGTAAGTCCAGTCCTTAAATATGAAGGCACTCTCGGTCTGACTGCCTCGTTTTGCAGAAAGAAGTCTCAAAGGTGGGATTGGGCTCCTGTTGTAGGAAGGCAGCGCAATAGCTGAGACGACTTCCTGGGAAACTAAACCTGGGGAGGAGAATAAACCTGTGGGAGAGAGGAATGGAGTAGGTGTCAGCGACAGGAAGTATCGCTGAGCCCAGGAAGGGTGCAGAGGAAAAGAGGTGATGAGAGGCAGGAGGAATGGAGATAAGAGGAGAGGCAAAGCGGGGAGATGGCCTGGGAGGCAGGGAGAGGAGGAGAAGACTTTTATGGCCGCTGTGCCCCTGAGGTTTGCTATATGAGTCTCTTTGCCTCTTTTCTGCGTGTGGAGAGCAGTTCACCTTTAGTACCTTCCCTTCTAATTGTGAAAGGGCATTTTTAGGATAAGGATATCCCCTGCCAACCTCCATAACCAAATGATGTTTGTGTAAGATGACTTGTTAGACAGACCAACTGATTTCTTTGGCTTACATTTCCATTCACTGACCTAAAATGCAGTTTCTTTGCATGAGCAATTTTAAACGTCTGCCCTATAATGAAGTTGGGCTTTCAAATGGTATCAAATACCTGTTTTTTTTTTCACATAAATCCAAAAGCAGCTAGTTTTGTTCCTCCGGTTTCAATTTGTTTCAGGTTTGTAGAGGTTTTGTCCCATGTCTTGAACTGAAGTTTTCCTTTCATTGTTATGAATTGCATCCTGTCATTTATTTCTGTGAGAATTTGCAAAAGATCAGATCAATGTCAAGAGCATCAGTCCAGCTGCAGATTTATTAACATGGCAGGCAAAACATTGTTTTTATGGTCTGTGCACAAAAAGTGTCTTTTTTTTTTTTTTTTAATTTCCTGTCTGTGGACAAGTTGGTGCAAAAATCCACAATAGCTGCAGCCAAGTGGTGAGCTGCACAGGTAGCCACGTGGGGCACTAGCTGTGGGCAGAGCACAAGTCCGAGTGGGGAACCTGAACTCGTTTTCCAATTTAAAATCAGTCTAGAAAGAGAGCAACTTCTCTGATTAAAAACCTTGAGAGTGGTAATATTTAATATCCACGTCCACATTCCGCTCTGCTCAAATTTAATCTAATACCAGTTCTTTTAAATGCTAGCATCCAGTGGGATGTTTCCACAAACAGAATGCAATATAATTTATGTAACTTCTGCTGCCCAGCTCCGCAGAGCCAAGTGCATCGTCTGAACACGCACTTCTCGGCAGGGAGGCTGCATTCCTTGCTTAGCAAAACATGGGGAATCACGCTGATCCCTGCTTTCCCTATGCCTGTGTCCAGGTCTATTTGGAGACAACAGTTGTTGCAAAGTTTTGTAAAGCTGTACGCTACCTGACAAAGTGCCTGATCTTTCAGCCCTTCCTTTTGCAGGTGCTGTTTCTGCTTTTCTGCATCTAGCTGTGTCTATGTTCATGTGTGCAGTACCGCGCTAGGAGCGACAGTGAATGTTTGTGATATTTGGTGAAATATTACCACCATGGGCAGCATTTTAGGTGGCCAGTCCTGTGTCTTTTGCATGTATCTTGCACACCTCAGCCTGCACTTCCTAGTGAGGCAGCTTCCATCAAAGCTGCCTCACTAAGTTGAGGCAACACTTGCCATTTCCCATGTGTTTGTGCTGGTTCTGTGGTTTTTATTTAAACCAAAAATACACAAATTTACATGAGTTTATCATAGGTTCTCAGCTAGATGAAGAGGGCATTCCACCTATGCTTAAAGTCACCAGTGCTTCTTTTTCCCCACTTTATTTAAAAGAAAAGATGTTACTTGAAAGACCAATTTTCCCATGGAGAAGGAGAAACCCTTTCCTCCCCAGAATCCTTCCCCTAATTGCCTCCACCAGCAGCACATTGTCAACACGTATCAGCTCAGTGAAATTAATTTGAAAAAATACCATGAAAGGAACTAAAAGACTTTTAATTACAACACACAGACATTGAAGTGCGGGCAGTAAAGCATATTTGTTTGTATGTATATTTGAGGAGAACCTATTAGCACTGTGGGAAGTTAAATAAGATACCCAGAACTGTAGCTAAAACCACTGATGGAAATGATGCCTTTTTTTTTTTCCTGGAGTTTACAGCAAATACACCATCTTCCAGGGCTTTTGACAAAGTCCCCGTCTCCGAACTCCCCCTTCCTCCTCAGTACTTTGAAGAAAAGGGGGCATACTCGCAGGTGATGATAGCATCCACTTTCCAGGAAATTCTCTTGCCATTTGCTGTCAGCTCAAGCGTTTCACTTCTCCAGAACTAAGCAGTGCTCAGCACAGGCCACAGTCACTTCCCAAGGCCGGATGATAAATAGTTGCGTTTCCGTAGGCCGTGAGCAGCCTCCTCTCTTCGGAGGCAGCTCACGGGGGTGCGGACGCATTCACGTGCGTGTAGGAGCACTTGGAGAGCGAGGCCCTCGTCGTCTTGCCCTCCTCTTCCTCGCCGGCCTCCCCTCTCGCCGCAGAGGCCTTTTGCTTGGCGCAGCAGGCGAAGGTGGCCAGGAAGCCCGCGCGGAAGCGCTTGTTCATGAAGCAGTAGACGATGGGGTTCACGCAGGCCGACGTGTAGGAGAGCAGGTGGATGAAGGAGATGGGCGCTCCCGAGAGGCGCCGGTCCGCGGAGGACGTGTCGAAGGCGCGCCACGCGTTCACGCTGAAGATGGGCGTCCAGCAGAGGAAGAACAGGATCACGATCACCACCAGCATGCGGATGACGAGCTTCTTGGCTGTTAGGTTGGCAGAGGAGCTGGTGCTTCTTGCCCGGTCTATTTTGCTACTGCTGGTACCCGAGAGCTGTTGCAGTGGCATTTTTCTCTTTCTTTTGGCCTTGTGCAAGTAGCATCCATCTCCATCCTCACACTTGGTGCTGCTGGTGCTTGCTCTTCTTTCTGTATGTATAAATTAGTGCTTAAATAGTTGGCAAAACACTTCTGAACAGTGGTTTGAAATACAAACAACAGAAAGGATTGTGAGCGCTGAGTCTACAGAGCTTCCTGCATGGCTAACCAGCTGCTGCAGAGACAGGACTGTCCTTCCTCTCACTCTGTGTACTAGATCTTTTGAGCTTGCTACCTTCCAGGATTCTTGTGTCTTAAACTGACGGAAAAGAAGCATGAGCACCATTTGCTCAGGGATTCACTGGAGATAGCTGTCAAAACTATGTTTCTATCCATATTCTATGGACTGTTTTTTATTGGTAAAAAGTGATCCTAAGCCATTGGCCTAAAGAAAAAATCTGGATATTTCTATAACAAACAAATCAGAAATTAGACTGACCCTGCCTGAGCTCTTCTGAAACAAGCTATGTGGGAAGAGTTATTCCTTAGAGAATAATGGAATTACTTAGATCAAAAAAAAAAAAGCATCAGACTTCTGTCCATATCTTCAGCTATAACCCAAAAAAGCAATGCCCAGGCACTGTTACCTCGTGCAGATTTTCTCTGGCTGACATCGAATTTTATGCCTCGGTAGAGTTCCAGGGAAATCAGGCCATACGCGACCATCATGATGATCCCGGGTATAAGGAAGAGGATGAGCAGCAGGAACGTATACCTGAAGGATTGCAAGAGTCTGTGATGAGGGAGAAGCACAAAGCCAGGCAAGTAACTTGTTTTTTATATTAGCATTTGGGGAAGGGGTAGTTAGTGGTTTTGCTGTTTTTTTTTTTTTGAGGAAATTTAAAGGATGGTTTTGACAGCTCTAGAAATGAGAGGCCTCCCCCCTGTCCCTGGGGCCACAGAGGTCCATGGGGAGGTTCTCAAGGCGAAAAACCCCTTCCTTGGCAGGGATGCCTGCTGCTTGGCTACACATCGATACCCACTGCTCTCCCATGTGCGCGATCATCAGCAGCTACCCTCTGGGGATTCAAAGTTGGGGAAATCATTCTGTTTAAAAGTATCTGAGAGCCTATAACTCTTCTGCTCGCTGGGACTCTCTAAAGTGCCTCAAGGTCTGCAATGATACATCAGAGAGGAGAATTTCACTCCCCAGAAGCTTTCCTCCTGCCCATCTGTGCTCATGCTAGCAAATACCCGAGACTCCTGAACACATCAGTGTGAGTTCTCTATATCTCTAGATGCCATTATGCAAGGACACAACACCTACGTAGTGCTGCTGCTCCATAAAGCTACTATTTACTTACTCCGCTTGGCTGTGTAGGACTTTGAGCACTGCTTCTCCTCTCATTACTCTAATCATCTTAATCATCCTAATCATCCTAAGTGGCCAAATTCATTCTGTTCTCAGGGGCATGTGTAAGCTCTCCACATTTCCATACTCTACTTCTTCCCTGCTTCAGGGGACCTTCAGGCAAGAATTAACAGGAAACGCAGCGCACAAGAGGGTGCTTGTGTGCATCCTTGTTTTTCTAAGATTAATCAAGGATTTCTCTGAAAGTATGAGGTTTACATAAGAATGAGGGAAAGCAAGAAATATTTCTGCTTGAAAAGTGATAGATGCTTTTGATAAAGTGACAGTAAGGGCCTCGCAGGCCATGGTTTGAGAACCATTGCCAGGTTAGGTATCATTCCTAAGGCGAAAGTCATACAGGTGTCAAAATGTAGGCAGCTTAAAAAACAAATTTTTCCATTTTCTAACTAAGCATGATAGAACTGTGAACGTTTGCTAAAGGTTAGCGCTTGCGTTTTAGTGAGCTTAATGCTACCATGAAATCCTAATTTCCACTAGATAATCATGCATTTACTAACAGCTATGTCCGTTTATGTCTTACCAAGATTGCTGAATTACATCACTTGGCCAAAGGAGCCGACACATGTTTGCTGTGCTGTTGTTGTACTTGGTGAATGGCACCAGTTTGCTGTAGATTGGGTACGGAGACATGATAGTGAAGGAAACACACCAGGTCGCAGCAATCACTTTCAAGGCATGAGATTTTGTCTGCCAGACCCTGGACTGTAAAGGTTTGCAGATGGCACTGTATCTCTCCAGTGATATGGCAACCAAGTTGAATGTAGATACGCTTACGGAGACACCTATATATGTAAAATAAAGAAATAGGTTATTCTCTTGTTTTGAACGATTCCTGTAATACTCAGCTCCTCTTGCTAAATTTTTGCACACATTTAGAAAAAAAGAAGTGTAGCAAAATGCTTATAATCTAAATTATTTATGAACGTCATACTGATTGAGTCACTGAACAGTGTATCAGCTAAAGATGACTAAAGCTCCATACTGATACCCCTGTTCTGTGCTCTAACTCCAGGAGCCCAAGAGAAAGGGCTCATTCTGTCAAACTATGAAATTTCAATAACAGAGAAAGCAGGGGCTGATTCTTAAAATAACACAACTTATTAGTTAAAAACTTAGTATTTGAAAATAGTTCGTTGGACTTTTCATAAGGCAATTTACGCAATATGAAACAAGAGAAAGCTGATGGAGCTTCAGTAATTTTTTATGGCATTCATGGCAGCAGTTCATTATAATTTGTTTAAACGTGGCCTTTAGTTTTATTGGTTTTATCTGCAGAAAGATGTTGATTTCCCATTCCCACCCTTTCTCTGTGTACTTTCACATTACATTGAAGTTCTCAAGGGCACAGGTTGAAAAGGGAACTTTTTCTGTAGTTTCTACTATTAACTCTGTAATTAATACAAAGTGAGCAAAAACTTCGCACAGAGTTCTCATTTTCTTTCTTTTTTTTTTCTTTTTCTTTTTTCTTTTTTTTAAGAAACAAGCACAAAAGATGTATTGAAAGTGTGACAAAAATCACTTACCAAGATGCTCATAGTCCAGGCTGTTTGAAACTCCTGACCCTACCTCGACAGTCAAAGGTGGTAGAGCAAGGCATATATATAAAGTAGTGTTCCTCAAAGCCAGTCTCTAAAAGCTCTGTCTGAGAGCCCTGTGCTTTATGGTCTCCTGGTGACTTCTCATCATACCTGATTTTTAAGTAGTGCTTGCTCTGACTGCCGCCTCTGCAAATAATAGCTACTTTGGACTAATTTTCTTTTCTTTCTCCCTGTGTTTCTCTGTGTGGTGGTACCAGAAAGCTGTGGGCAAAAGCTGATGTTAGTGAGGACAGCCCAATGCTACTGCTTTTGCTGGGCGATCAGAAAATTGCTAATAACTCTGTTAGTGTCGGGTAAGCAAAGGCAGGTGCCGTGTTCCTGATTAGAGCTTGATCCTAAAAAATATTAATCACTTAACCTGGTCCAGAAAAGCACTTCTGTATGTATTTCAAACTAAGTGGATGCCTCTGTGTTTTGTTGGATCAGACTAAGATCGGTACAATAAAGATTCACTCTACAAAGTTATTTCTTAATGATATTGATGATTATTCAATGGCAAATGAAAACAGTCAGCTTTTTATTAATCTTTAATGAGCTTCTCACATATCTTATTAGATAAACTCCAAAATAAGTATAAACTTCCAGGACTTACCCATGAAGTAAGTGGCAGTTTTACAGACAGCACTACCAAAAATAAAATCTTTCAGCAGGTTGGGGATGAGGGTGAACGGCATGCAGAAAAGGCAGAGCATGAGATCGCTGACAGCTAGTGAGAGCAGGAATATATTCGTGACCGTTCGCATCCGCTTGTTTCTTATCAGCACCGTAATGACAAGAACGTTCCCCAAAACACTGAGCAGAAATATCAAAGCATACAGCAGAATCCGAATGGTCTGGTGCAGATCTGAAAACGGTCACAGGGAAAAATCAGTTAGGAAACGCACACTGGGTCAAGTGTTTCATCCTCAACCAAAAGGTGAAGCTTTTACTGAGGCTTAGGTTTTCACACCAGCGTAAAATCAGTGCAAGTTCTGAAATTCTTAAACTTCTGGGCGACCCGAATTGCATGATATTACAGTGCAATTGCTGCAGCACAGAGGGCACCGCGGAGCTCCATGCGACTCCTAAAAGCCCACTCTGCTCCAGCCACTCTGCGGGCACCAATGACTCCCGATGGAAATTCCTCCTTTATGCAGAGGTGGCAATCATAACTATTTTAATACGTGGATGATTTTTTCTCATCTCCGGAGTTCTATAATTTCACATTTAATCACTTTCATACTTGGTATTAGATCAGATAACTCTGTTGTTATTGAATTGTTTGAAGAGTAAAAAAACATGTTTCCGTCACCCCTTGGTAGAGCTATTTGCCTGTTGTGCCCGGTATTGCTATTTCTGCTTTTCCATTCACACTGAAATTCGTTTTAGCTGAATTTTTAACTGGGAACATCAGCACATACTGAAACCTTGCCTGCCTGTTTCTTATCCTAACTTACCAGCAAACAGTTGATTTTGCACTCCCTCCCAGAGAAAGCTTCGTGTAGCTCTTTTTCTCTATAATATCTCTACTTGCAGTGAGAACTAAAGCTGCCTGAAGAATCCATTTTCTACACATACCTTTAGAAGGATAAGGTGGATCATCCACACAGAAGAAAGTGTCGTTTTCCAAGATGATATGACACAGGAAAGCAGAAATATTGGTGCCATTCCCAAGTAAGCTATCATCCACAATTTCCATTCTTTGGTATTCCCAGGTTAGCTTTTGTGGAGAGAAGAGCTGGTTTGCACCTATCGGCCCATTCTTCTAGCAAACACAACCACTTCTCAATGAAATCTTCTGCAGCAGCATGTGAGCGAGGTGGCTGCACCAGGAAGCTCTTGTAACTCTCCACGAGGAATACCCAGCGCACAGGACCCTGTTCAGAGCGAGGGCGGTTTATTCCAGGGGCGTGCGGGGCAGTCGAGGTTCAGAAGAGCGAGGCATGAAAGCACCTCCACATGCAACACGCTCACGCACACGTCGCTGCCGGCACCTTCTTAGATCCACCCTCTCCTCTGACTGGCCTACTGGTGGGATTATAAACAGGCTGGAGAAAGATTATAGCATTAACCCCTTGTGAGATGGCTCCCACTCACGTATCGGCAATACTTCTCAGAGGAAGCCTGCTAAAGCCACAGCCAATAAATCATGAGCAATAAGTGATGAGAGCGATAAATCTGTCTCAGACAACAGCATGCAAAATGATGGGAGGAGCAGAACGAAAGGGCACAGAAGAAAGGCACAGTGAGGATTTTGCGTGCTTATTTGGAAAGCCCATTATTTTCTCTGCATTTTTCAAAACGTACTGAAGACTGGCTGGCTGTGAACTGGCTCAGAAAAACAAGGGCCATTCCTCGTATTTGGTGAAGTGCTTCACTAACTTCATACGGAAGCTCTGTAAGTGCCTGATTCAACACCCAGTAAGTCAGTAGAAAGATTTACTCATTTCAGTGTCCTTTGGATCAAACCTTATGAAAGTACAGTATTAAAATTGTTGTGTGCACAAACCTGTAAATTTTATCGGTGCAGAGTTGTACACAACTTATACACAATCCTGATGATGCGATAAACTGCTGCGTATTAGTTATATATTGATGTAAAATACAACCATCTTGGTCATTTACCAGAAATCTTTTTCCATTTGTTCTGGTTTTTGAATACACAAACACCATCCTCCCCAGTGTTCCAAATGTCATGGGCTTTGGACCTGCAGTATACCATATTGCCTTTTTTTTTTCAAGAAAGATAGAGAAGATGTACAATAGCTCATGGCAAAACATTTTATTATAAAATAATCCCTGCAATAACTCAACTGAAAAGAAATTTCACATGTAGAATCCCTTCTAATTAAATCGAAGAGTGATAATAGTTTTATTCCTCTCCCTTAAAGCTAACACACAAAGACTGGAAGCCTGGATTTCTTTTCCAGCCTCTCCACCCTTAACTTGCAGTGCCGTGAGCTAGAATGGGTAGGTAGGAGAGTAAGCTGGAAAGCTCAAGTAAGTTCTATTTTCGAAATTCTCATTTCTTTAACAAATTAATTATAAGGTTTCTATTTTTTGTGCAAATTCTTGTAGCGTTTGTAATCTGACATACTACAGACTCCAGCCGCCAGTCAGTGTATAGGATGTGCTTGACAGAGCAACTGTTCCACCAGAAGGAAACACTCGGTCCGGTGAGTTTCAATTCCAGTTCCACAGGGGTATCATAGCGTTGGAAATCAATCCAAAACGGGACTCTCTGGTTTACTTTTTCCACTTGTGACTCTCAAAATGTGTGAAAATTATATTTAAGAAATGTAAGTTAAAGTATGTTTCCATTTTTACAATGACTGAGCACTAAGCTTGAATATGGCACCAAAGTCTCTGAAAAAAAAAGATTTTCTTTCTCTCAGCTTTAGAACAAACTAAAGGTCTAGTTCACCTTTACATTTTTGTTTCATATGACTAAACTGATGGGTGCTACTAATCAACCACTCTATTAAATGGCAAACATTCCTCATTTACATATATCCAGATTTTATTTTTTTTAGTCCTGGACATTTCCTCTGTCAAGTTCAAATGAATTTAACAAACCCAATTGTTTGTTATCTGAAGTGGCAGCCAAAAGATGTGCTGATTTAGTGGAAAAGTAAAAGATGCTTTTTGGAAAGGATTGCTGAGCTTAAGAGTTTATTTTGTTGTTGCTCTTGAAATGTAACAGCAAGATTAGGTAAGTTTAGTCTAAGCTGCCCAAACTTATGGTTAACAATTTTTCTTTCCTTTGATAATCCCATTCTACAGCAAATACTGTTCCTGCTTTCCGTTTTTCCTTATCTGAGAGTCACTTCAACAAACTCTTTATATTTTAGGACATTTCATTCTGTCAAAAAATAGCATCCAATTGGAATGATTTTTGAGCTTTAAGTTTTTGGTCTGAGACCTCTGTGTATCAAAGGAAACCATTACAATAATTTGTTATAAATTATTATAATAACTTCACCTGCTACGAAACACCGGCTGGATAATTTTGTTTACCAATTCCTTTAGTGGATTAAATAGCCTGTGATGGAATTAGAGTCTTTCTGTAAGCAAGATGTCAGATTGTTGTTCTGGACTCATACTTAATGTGCTAGAGATCTTGCCTGATTCCCAGCACCTACATTAGAAAAATAATTGGATATGTTTCCAGTTTCAGTTGTATTGAATGGCTGATATTAGCAGTATTTCCTGCATTGCTTTTTACCACGTATGTGCTGCTGTTTGAAACTGGATTTTCTCTGAATTCATCTTTCATCTGCAGTTTTTGTAGTGGGTATACCACTGTGCTTGTGGGGTGAGAGGTTAATTGCTTGACAAATTATGGCTTGGTTATTCCTGTACCGTGAGGAATGAATGTTTCTATTAAAGAGGAAGATTAAATTTTCTTTACGTTGTCGATGTAGTCTGAGATTGTGCACTTCTTGTTGTCCAAGGTCTTCCAGACTTGCTGACCTGGGTTGGGTAGTGTCTCCTAGTGAGTCCCCAGGAGACCTGGTTAAAATGAAGGGAAGCAACGGGATGAATGGAGGTAGGGAGGAAGTACTGAGATGCCCCAGTTCTTGCACTTGGGGAGACTAAGTCCCTGATCAAGAGTGGAGAACAGATCCGGGCGGATCATTGGGACCCTTCTAGAAATGAAGCACTAGTGAAGGAATTTCACCTAGGCTGTGAATTACCACCCTGTGTTCAACCTCTTTGGACCACGCATAATTCTGTCATACCTAAACAATGTTGAATGAGTCACTCATTCCTAGTAAACAAGCTGTCTCACACCTTTCATTAACATTGCAGCCCTGGGCTAGAAGTTTTCTAGTTCTTCCATAGTCTTTCATAAATGGCATATTGAGTTTTTGTGTTGTCTTTTCTTCCACTCTGCTCTGTTCCTTTACTAATAATCCCTGTAATCTTATTTGCATTTTTTATAACAACTAAGAATTAAATTGATATTTTTATAGACGGATCTACTGTGAGTTCAGTAGTCGCTCCTGCATAATAATAGCTAGTTTAGAGTCCTGCAGTGTACATGACAAATTCTAACTGGTTTCTTATTTTCACTGATTTTTATTCTCCCATTTTATTAGCAATATCTTTCTGCAGCTCTTTAAAGTCAGCCTTCTTCTCTCCTCCTGAATGACTTGGTATCAGCAGAAAGCTCTTTCACTTTGCCCTTTTCCCTATTATGAAACATTTATGAAAGTGAAGAACAGCTGTAGCAAAGTGTCCTATGGGGCTAAATTCATAGTTGTCTTTCATTCTTACTTTTTATTTCTCATCTTTCAATCATATTGTTCCCTGTTTCACTCCAGACCGATAGTCTGCTGATTGATCATGATGTCGGTCTTGAACTCCTGCTTCTATGGGTCTGTGACTTCCTTCTAGCATGCAAAGCTTTGGCTCGCCCAACACAGAACGATTCTCCACAGCTGTTTGTAGATACTGACTGATGGGCATGTTGAATCACCTCAGGCCTCTGGAAGGTCCACTTGGAGGAGCAATGAAGACCAAGCAGCAATAGGGCAGCCATGTGACGTTGGAGGAGACCAGTGGACACAGTCTGCGTGGTGGAACCCGCCGTCATGACCACACGGCAGGGAGAGCACACGAGCCAGGGCATGGGGGTGGCGGGCAGAGCCTGCGAGAGACCCACATGGATGAACTAAAAACTGAGCCATGGTTCACGTCGGAACCCACTGATTTCTACCAGCAACTGGTCTGCATCGAGTGAGCGAGTGCTGTGGCATGCACATCCCAGGGACTATGTAGTTATAATTTATACGAACTGGATCATCTGTTCATAGGATCAGACCTCTAAATCTGCAAGGTTTGACCTTCCTCCACACAAGTTGCATAGAAAAAATGCCCAGAAATTTTTTCATGTGGCTGCAGTCACCAGTTTTCTTTCTGCCAGGCTTGCAGACTGCTCTGTAATCCCATGGATTTTCCCTGGAGACTTTTCCATGGACAATATGTTGGCAAAAGGCCTTTTCCTCGGCAGCAAGGTTTTAAGCAACAGGTTACACATAGTATTTAATAGTTCTACTCTTTCCTTTAGAACTTCTGGGTGAATAGTGACTGTTCCTGGCAGAGCTGCATTCAGTATCTGCAGTTAAATCGACAAGCTGAAGGAGGAAGAATTTACTGTGAACTCCTGCCTCTCCTTTTGGAGTAGGTTTCTGCATGAAACATATTGAGATAAAGAGATTTCTTTTTTCTAGGCATTTTTGGTGCAAATTCAATAGTTAATATTCTCTAATGCACAGCCAACAATCTTACTGTCTGGACAGCTCTGAGTTTCTGTGTTTTAACATCATTTCTCTCTCCGCTGTATTTGGCTAATTGCATGCTAGAACACTCTCCCTCCTGCTGATGGGTGTCATCTCACTGCCCACCCACTAGCTTTAAGAAAAAAGGTCTTAACTTCACAAGTTTTAAGCAAGAATGTCCTTTGAGTTGGCTGCTTTATTAACACCGATTTACTAAAAAAAATGACTTTGGATAGTTAAGAATTAATTTAGATGCTGTATTCTGTGCATAGTTTAGAGAAATGTTTATAGAAATATATATTTTTTTCTTTCTGTAGTGGAAGAAGAACAACTAACCCATGATAACAAAAGAATCTGCCATTTAAATTCTTCTTTTTTTTATTTTAGTCCAGATCCTTTTTCTTTTCTTATGATG